ATGATTTCTGTCACTATTAGAGGTGGTTATACATCCAAGAATTGGGATGGTTACATCTTCAAAGTAGAGGATTCTAAGACTTTATCACTTGCATAAGAGAGGGATTTAAGTTCAATTTGGTTAGTTAAGTCAAGTGAGCAATGAGATCCATCATTGGTTTATTGACTCAGGATTTCACAAAGTAGAAAGCACAAGGGGTAAGAAAACTAATTGTCCTTTACTCACTATTAAGGTAGGCATTATTGTGTAGGTTATAATGCTCTTCTCCTATATCATGCGAAATGAAGAAACAGTCTACGCTTACCCATTAAATATTCAATAAAATCAAGGATTGTGTTTGAATTTATCATTCATACAAACTATGAAGTTAATGAAAGTTGTTAACAACACATGTGTGCTTCTTCAAATAACTTTTCTTTTCTATAAATTACCAAAAAACATACATGCTTCTTATCGAGCATCCTTGACTGCACTTTTGATGTCAAGGGATTATATTTACTATATAAATCAGTGGATAATTTCACTGAGTGCTCTGCATGAATTATATTTACTATATAAATGCAAAAGCCACATTGTTGTTCCTTCAAAACCTTCTTTGATGTTTTGGTCAAAACCCAGAGCTTTAGAAGTTTTACACATTTAGTTTACTCACAACATGTTTCACTTTTCTCCTATTTTGCAAACCAATTTTCTCACATAAGAAAAATATACACAAATATGTGCATTTCTTTCTTTCTATTTTTAGATAAAGTATACAAAATCTACAACTGGCCAGCCTTTGGGAATAATTGGCGCAGTACAGGTTGTAGCAAGTGTACAAGTTGCTATTTAAACCTCAATTTAGAGATTGAGTTATTTTCAATGTATCCTTTTACGACACCATGTGAGATTTTACCATGTTTGTTGTTGTGATTTTATCCTTTAATGCCTTTTATATCTTTTTAGTCTTTTCTTTTTGTAGCAGATTTTTTAAAAATGGAATTGCCTTAGTAGGCAAGTGTTTGAAATATAAAGATTAAAAGAATTTTTATCCGAATTTACTGTCACACTGTATTCAATATGAATTTTTTTTGGCTCAAAATCTTGTTCTCACTAATTTATGATAAAAATGTGTTTTTATATATTCTTGGACTAAAAATGTAGGAGTGTGCAGGTAGGTTAGGAGAAGAGAGCATGATCGAAACAAAGTGGTTATTACTTTAAGGGTTCTTTTCCTCATTCACTACTTTAAGGCCTAGAAGATGGATTGCTACATTAGGTAACTTATCATATATTTTCTTATATTTCACATAGGTACAAAGCAGGATTTTGGTGCTCCACATGGAGGTACAAAGTAGAATGCTCACCTTCATCTACTCATAATTGTACCGTAAAAAGTGTCTGACAAAACCTCCATCTTTTATATTCGAATTTGATTGCATAAATGGGGTTCTTCATAATCACAAGGTCAGTATGTTATTCTCTATTACTCCTCTCATTTTCCTTATTCTTTCATTTGTTTCATCCCAACTAGTTTTCATAAATAAACTTTCATTCTTTAGTTGTTGATGTTATTTGAGTATCAACAAACTAACTTTTTTTCTTTTATGAGAAAGGGAGATTAGATGAGAGTTGCATCGAAGTAAGTGTCGTACTCTTTAGGTTTTTCCAAATGCTTACTGTACATTAAACATTCAATATTCAAACCAGGTAATGAATTGGAATCGAGATAATATATTTATCCAAGTAATTTCTTTTCCAAATAAAATTAAAAGATTTTTCTTTTTTTTCTAGTAATATTTACTTCCTAATAATATTTACGTTCAAATATAATTTACATGTTATTCCTATGTTGTTTGGAAATGCTTTATTGTTCAATTGGGAAAATGTTTGGAGCTATTCTGAAGCTGCTTGGGCTATTGTGAGATTGATTTTTTATTGTTCAAACTGATTTTTGATGCTCATGTAGTTTTCCAAATCATTTTGTGCTTTTTTTTAGTATGATTTGGTGGTCGTTTTGGTACTAATTCTTTGTGTGTGTGATGATGCTTTTGTTGTTGATGTTAGATTTGTTGAATGATTAGAAGTTGCTAAACAAATAGATATCTTTGCCAAACGACTGAGGTGATTGATTTTCGTTTAGGCATTGGTAAATTGAGCATATAGTTTCTTATTGTTTCATCTTATTTGAAGAAACAAGTGATTTTGATTTTAGAAGATTATTGAGGTTTCTTACGAGTTGTGGAATTTTTCAAGCTTGATAACCTTAGAATTGTTGTTGGTTCTCTACTATTGTACTTTATTTTTCTCAATTCAACTTTCTTTGAAAACTATTTCACATGTTATTGTAAGTGATAAGGCATGCATTGTGGCTATGAAGATCCAAGAGTAGCTTGGTCATATGCTTTTCAATTCACGAGAAAACCATATTCACATTTTTGTAATTTTTTTATGTTACTCAAAGTTTAACATTCCCTTTGTCTCATTTTAAAATTTTTGTTGTTCACAATCTTTGGTGGAAGCTTCTTTCAAATGAATTTATATCAAAAATAGGGAGGAAAAAAAAATATAATTTATATATTTAAAATTATATCAAAAGTTTTTTTTAAAAAAAGTAGGTGACATGATTATATTATTTTATGAAATAAGTAACAAAAATGAATAAAGAACTGATCAAAGTTTGATAATGTGAATAATAATAAGCAACTTAAATTTGGGTGATGAGGAGAGTACTTATATCTCACGAATAACGCTTTTTTTCCTTTAACTAAGGCAGCGTTTCGTTCAACTTGTTTTTCTGCGTATTACTTATTCTTATTAAAATCAGGTCAGACCAGATCTAAACAAAATTATTATTGTTATTATTATTATTAATACTCCTATTGTTACCATTGTTATTAGTATTATTATTACTATTACTATCACTATTAATATTATGATTATAATTCTTATTACTAATGTTATTATTATTACTATTACTATTATTGTTATTTATATTAATATTAATAATAATATTATTGTTACTATCATTATTACTATTATTATTACTACTATAACTATTATTATTATTATTAAAATTATTATTACTATTGTTATGATTACTATTACTATTTACATTATTATTACTATTACCATTAATACTATTACTATTATTATTATTACTACTACTATTATTATTATGACTATTATTATTATTATTACAATTATTATTATTATTATTACTATTATTATCACTATTATTACTATTTCTATTATTATTATTTCTATTATTATTATTATTATTATTATTATTATTATTATTATTATTATTATTATTATTATTATTATTGTTATTCTTGTTGATGTTGTTTTTGCTTTTATTATCAATATTTCTATTATTTTTATTTCTATTATTATATTATTATTACTATTCATATTATTATAGTTATTATTATTATTACTATTCCTATTATTATTATTATTATTTTTATTAGTATTATTTTTATTTTTATTTTTATTATTACTATTATTATTAATATTTCTATTATTATCATTATTATTATAACTATAATTACAACTATTATAATAAGAATTTTAATTTTAATCAAATTAATATCAGATCCAATCAGATCAGATCACATCTAATCAGATCAGACCTGATCATATCTAATCAGATCTGGTCAATCCAGATCAGAACATCAAAAAATCAGATTAGATCAGGCCAACGGATTGCAGCCTACAAAGATTATTGACAAAGCAATTAAATTGTATTCATATTTAACCATAGATGTTATATTTTAAATTATACATATGCTTATTTCCATAAATCATTGTTGGTCTATATTTACTATTTATTTCGTATCTGAAGTCTAACCATGGATGAATGAGTCATTATATTGCAGAGTTTGGTTAAAGAAATTAGATATTTAGAGGAGTAAATTGAGTTTTAACAGACCACTCTAAATATAAGTGATTATGTAATTGTGAAATTTAAATCATATTTCTTATTAGTGTGAAATAAAGTGATAGAGTTCTTAAAAAGTCTTTTTACAGTTGCTTAAAAATTAAAAATGGGAAATATTGGTACATAAAAAGGGACACTAAACTTTAAAAAAAACTCTTTTATGCGGTATATTACAATCTTATCCTTTACAAAACCTTTAATATTTATCCTAGGTGCATGATGACGTCTGTGTGAAGGTGCAAGACTAAACCCTAAAAAAACAGCAATCATACTAAGAGTTTTATAACTTTGTTGATAGTATAAAACAACTTAAAAGCAGTTGAGTCCATCATCTTTTCACATCCCAACACTAAAGATTTTGTAGAATTTTTAGTTTTATGATTTACCAAGTCTCACAATGTGAAATATATTTACGTTAGGTTTCATTATTTTATAAAATAGCATTCTCTTGCTACAATTGTGATAACTTGATATTCAGAAATTATAAATCAACTTTAGGATCATTTTTTATTGACTAAGGATCTGGCCTTAGACTAAGAATAGCTAAGAGCATTGTTATAATCTGGCCTTAGATTAAGAATAATTTAAGAGCACTATTGAAATAGTATCTGAATTGAATAAAATGTATTGATATGAACTGAACAATACCAAAACCGTGAATGTCTGAAATGAACATTGTGTGCATGATATCAAATGATTTGATTATGAAGTTAGATTCAGTTTATATGGATGTTCGACGCATTAGATATGCTTACTCAGCTTTACCGCTGAGCGTGTAGTGTGTTTTATTTGCTACACACAGGTAAGCAGAAAGCAGAATGTGATCCTGGCGGCAGATGGGGCGAGATTGTCGGGATGGATGTGACAAGTTTTGAAACAATTTATGATATGTCAATATTAAAATCGCTTCCGCAATATTGTTGAATACTCCGTATTGTATATGTATTGAAAAATATTATTGGGATTAATAAAGTGTGTTTAAAATGGTTTAAACTTTTACGATTGCCAAGTTAAATACTTTAGTCCGAATGGGGCTGCAGACCTGGACGGATTAGGGTGTTACAGTTTGGTATCGGAGCAAATGGTTTTAAAACCGATCTTCGGATCAAAATTTGAGTTAAAAAAAATGTTTCAGTCACATCCACGACTCTCGCATCCCTCTGCTCCAGGAAAGGTATGAGAATTTATTAGATAAATATTGACTTTGTTAAAATTCTCACTAGATAACAATTGTTAGTAGTGAAATTATATCGAGCATAGACTTAAGTAGATTTTTCGTACTCGGTGAAGAGACGAAAGAATAAAAAAAATTGTGATACGTTATCAACGTACTTATCATATCGCGATTGACGAAGCTGATCTATCTCGCAAAGTCGCATAGAAGTGAGACGACTATAAAGAAATGCCTAATGTTGAATAACATTCGCTAAGCTGCTGTCAAAGATCCTCATGTGGACTGAAGATGATCGGATTGCTGATTTAAACACGAACGTCTAGAATTAATAAACTCTGTTGTCTAAAAGTATCCCATTCTGATGTCTAACTCATTACGACGCAAATATGCGATTATATTATACGAATCGAAATAGTTCATTCAGCAACAATTCCTTGCAAAACTTTGTTGAAATATCATACAAGGAAATTGACGTTGTAACGCCCCAAAAATAGGCCTATCAGAGTTAATTAATTTATAATTAATTAATTACTGAGAAGGACCCAAAAAAAATAAGTAAATTCTAAAGTTTGTCAATAAATAATGAAAATCATATCATTATGTAGAGTTTGTCTGTCTGATCCCAACGGTTCAATCGGATTTCAATTTGGAGAAAGTTGGAACAAAAAGTGTACCCTAACTGGGACCAAAATTAGTCCCAATCAGGGACTACACACCAAACAGCGCCCTGTTCAATTACGCCGATTCCAAAATCGTAGCTCAATCACGGAAGCTGCAAACCAGTGTCTTCTTCTTCTCCACTGGCCTATTTAAGCACAACTCAACTCCCTCAATTCTTCACCACAAACATTCATTCTTCCTCCTATATTGTTCCTTGCTAAGAAAATCGATTATTTTCTTCCTAAAAATCGATTAAAACTTGTTCAGATAACGTGTATCAAAATAATAAAAAAATAATCGATTATATTAAAGTATTAAATCGATTTTTTGTACTTAATCGATTAAAATATATTTTAAAAATCGATTTTACAAATTAATCAATTAAAATATATTGAAAAATCGATTTTTCAAATTAATCGATTAAAATATGTTAAAAATCGATTTTATAAATTTAATGGATTAATATATATTCAAAAATCGATTTTTATATTAATTTATTGAATAAATCGATTTTTCCTCAATTCCAGTGTCCCGAAAATATTCTTGGAAATATTATTTGGAAATACTAATTAATTAAGAACAATTTAAATATGATTTTGTATAATAAATGATGTTTTTGGCATATAAAACATTATGTGATGCATAACGATATGTTTGGGTGTTAACACCCGAGACTAGGCCGCTGTTTGCTATTAAATATTATGTTGAATGATCATTATGATGAAAAATTATTATGGATAATTATGAATGATAAACCTACTGATTAAAATGATTATTGATGATTAAGTCATGATTAAAAAAAATGAATTAATGGTGATTATGAAAACAGTGTATATTGTTAAGGATATCTAGAAGAACTCTAAGATATACC